CTAATCAAGAATGAAAATTGAAATAATAATAAGAATAAATTTCATCCAACGCCGCTATCATTTTAACTGCTTTCTTCTATGTATTAAAATGAATATTGATTTTTGAATTTTAACAATAACCAAAATTCACTAGCACCATTACAGTGCCAGCATCGATGCGTCAAATGGCATCTCAACAGTATCCCTCTGATCGAGTATGTTTCGTTATTTGCCGTTAAATAACAAATAATATCAGATATAAATATTTTCGGCCCAACTTTTCATCAACAACAAACAAGTCGAAAAACTTCAAAGCCAAAATTGTGATTCCACTGAATACTTGGAAATTTTTGTGTAATACACAGTGAGCCTCGGTTTACGACGACAGTTTCTTCTAACAACTCGAAATGATTGTAAACCAAAGCGTGTTTTCCATAGTAATTATTGGAAAATGAATTCATTCGTTTCAGTCAGCCAGCTGCTAGCATTTTCAAATGTACCACTAGAGCCCACAAATGATCTCTTATCTTTCTTCGTCACTAAGAATTCTTCTTGTTGAGGTTGCTACCTAACCACTTCAATTCTCAAATTACTTAACCAGGAAATAACTCCTCCATTTGCGTCATAGAAACTTCTAATATCTTTTTAGGCATGTAGTTTCATCGAGATATAGTTAAAAAAAGCATCACTTCAAATCATTTAAATCAGAAAACCTTGAAAATCACTCAAATACCGGATGAACGTTGTTGTCTGAGTCAAAGACTGCCAACTATAAGAAGTATTTAAAATGATAGCCTCAATCTTCGCATGAGTCTACTTTCGCCTGAGAAGATACTGAAACATTCGAAAAGTTTGATCGAAAATGGTTACAAAGGGAGCCGTAGTCGTGAACCGAGGCAAATTTTTGCTGAAAATTTCGGTCCCAACTGGAATTCATTATATATATATATATGTATATGTATGTATATATCGAATAAGATACTGATCAAAATTTTCAAATAACAGAATTATAATCATGTATCAAGAAGATTAGTGGGTGCAATAGCAACTTGGCATGATATTCATGCAAATCTTTTACGATTATCAATTGATCGTGGAGAGCAATCGACAAGTGGCGTACAGGAAGATTTATTGAGTACAGACAGCGAATATTTCTCATGTTGTTCAACTTCATCGTCCAGAACCTCAAGCTTATCGCAGAGTTTGTTTGATTCCTATCTATTTTGATATCTCTCAGTTTCTCAGTGTAGACTATTCAAATCAACATTGTTCAAACCATAATGATTAGTCGATGGAAACTGCAAGTTAAACTTGGTTTCTTTTTACTGAATTGATGTCATGAATACGTCACATATAACACGTCATATGTTCACATCTTCAACAAATTTCGTCATCGAACACAGTTGCTTATAACGAATGCAGAGTGTTCCAAAAAGTTTGATATCGTTTGAAATATGAATATCTGAATAACTGCATACCGCAGGCAAAAGAATTCAAACAGAATTCATGATGTAAAATAAAAGACCATCCTTTGAACCCACAGAACAACTCACAAGATGTCAAGTCAGGTGAATGCGATGACCATTTCAACAGTACTTCATCCATCTTCCCCGTAGATTCTCAATAAAATGAGTTCGCATCATTAGCTCACAACGAGATAGAGCTGGAGCCCCTTCATATTTAAAAAAATGAAATTTTGATGTTCAGAAACAAAGTCTAACGAATGTACGAAATGTACAAAATACAAAATGCCTTTTCATGAGTAGTGAGTGTAATTTCCAACCATAAGAAAAAATAGCGCAGTATCGAATTTAAAGTTAGTTAGTTTTTACAAATCTCTCCAAAATTTGATATCATTTGAACGAGAATTATTTGTGTTACTGAACTACAAAATGACGTTGAATTTTGTTTCGAACATCCTGCGCTATTTTCATATGCAAATAAATCTATGCAGCTTCCAAGATGCAGTAATCAAATCAAAGTGGGATTCTAATGTACTAGCATGCACGTTGTTGTCTACGCAAGAAACTGGTGTATTCACTCAGTCACATTGCTATACGAAGTTGCTTGCTTGAGGGAACGCAAAATAGTTCAATGATGTTTGGAAAGCAAATCAGCAACAGATCATTTACAGATGAAGCAAGTACGCAAGAAGAAGACGGAACGTCTCGTGAAGAGAAGAATAAATTCCGCTCACGTTTATCACTTTCAAATCCAGAGCTGACGAATTTTCAACTGAAAGAGATGTTTCCCGAGGTTTCTGATCATTGGAGGTAATATATGGTTTGTTAAGAAGAAATTTCGTACAACTTTTCAGAACTCTTTCAGGCTTTCACATTGTATCAGCTATCTGTGGTTATTTGGGGTTCAACATTCGCTTCAGAATTCATAATATTCAAGTAGTTCATTTGGGAACGTTTTACCCATTCAGTATGATGAAATTGACGAGCGATAAGTGCAGTATTTATCGCTTGCTGGCTTTCGAAAAGCCAAGATCCACGATACCATTCTACAAAATTCTGAACGAAATGGACGAGAATGAGTTTTTAACTGATGCAAAAGGCATCAGCGAATATCTCTGGACAAGCTAAAGTATATCATCGAGTTGAGAGCGAAGTCTTATCATCGACATGATTGCATCAAACAAACAACATGAACCGAACTCCAGTAAGATCACTTACCCGCCAAAGTATTTTCAAAGAATATCTCTTCTCTACGCAATATGATGTCACTATCCTGAATGATTCGTTGAATTGTTTGCTGAACGAGATCCTTCAAAACATCTTTTTTGCAATCGACGTCAGCCACGTTTCATCGGCGACGTTTACTTAGGTAATATTTCGATCATCAATAATTCATTTTTCATCTCACCGCATCCTTATTTAACCATGTTCTCTCTTCAATGTATAATACATTCAAATAGCTCAAATCGTTCCAAATAAATTTAATGAGAGTACACAAAAAGCATCGATGAATCGTCAAGAATTGTGTGTAATGGTAATCCAGTCGTTCTACAAAATAAGTGTTAATTATAACAACCAACCGTGACCTGCTGGGTCACTATTTTATCGTGATCTTTACCGTCATGTTCGTAGATTGCTGTACGACTAAGTCATAAATACCGTCACAAAAACTCGATAACCCAATGACTTATTCACTGAGGTTTCTCGGTGAGTTACTGGATAGGATTGCGATACTCACTGAAAATGTCTACTCGTTGATTAGGTTGTTAAAAAATTTTATCCGTAGAAAATGTCAATCCACTGATTTCGCTTCAGTTTTTTTTGCTTACCTACCAACGTTCTATCAGTTTTGCTTCTCAGTTACTCAGAAACAAGATTTTAATGAATTATTAATCCATACATTGATGCTGTTATCCTTAGTGTTATCATTGATTTTTGCATGACTTTCAAATGTCTCTTAAAACGCACTCATAACAATTTGCTGCCTGTACAATACTGAGAGAGTTTTTCAAAATTTCAGAAGTTGTAAAAAGTGCAAAATTTGCCCCCATCGAAATGTGCTAGAATGTAGCAGCTAACTTTTTATGTAGCTTCATTCAAATGTGCATGCATATGGCCATTTTGGAGCTGTTGTTCGCAGTTTCAGAGCCATACAATCTCAGTTTTGAAATTCTTCTGCATACAAGCCATTTGGAAAGCAGCTCTTAAAAATGGCAACAATAGCAGAAAAATCGGCTCTCGTTTTCGAGTTCTGTTGTTGGAAGAGACACAACTTATCGAAAAACTTTTGTAGATATGCAAAACTTTTTTTTATCCGATCTCAATGAACGATTATACGAATACGTGAATGGTTCGAAAATTTCATTTGACAAATGATCGAATACACATTTGATTTGTCACTTACTTTGTATCCTGCTGGAGAGGCATTCATGTAAGCCCGATTGCAAAGGTCTTTTCGTTCCGTTAGCGTTCACTAAGCATTTCACTCGTCTTTGTCATTATCTGAATCGTTCATCTTTCCATTTTTCATTTATGAATAATTTTTTTATTCGGATTCAGAACAATAATTCTCACTATTTTTCTCTCATTTAATGTTAAATCAATGATTGGTTTCTCTCTCTCCCTCCCTCTCTCTCTCTCTCTCTTTCCCTCTCTCTTTCTCTCTCTTCCTTTCTTTTTCGAGCATTTATAATGAATTAGAAGTAGACTCAGAAGTGGGTTTCAAGATGATCTGTATTACCATTGAGAAGATATGAGCAGGTATAATGAAAGGAAATTAGTTTAATAATGATTGGATGCAGTGCTTCTTAATCACTTCCTATATCACATATAATGAACATTTGCTAATATCCGTTCACGGATAGATGATTGCATTATTGTGCTAAACTCTAGCGATATCATTCATCTGTTTGCGCATTCGTGTTCAGTGCTCTAAAGGCGAATAATTGATCAAATTTAAATGCTCACATTTTGTCACGGTGTAATCCTGATTCATTTTATATATCCTTCAGCCTTTCATATTCATCTGAACGATGTTCTCTACAATTGACTTTATGCTGACAATTAACTTTTAGCGGTCACTATTAAAATTAGTATTTTTGTTACCGTTATTCATCCTCATCACATCCACCGATCTGGAAGTTGATCACCAACAGAAAACGATCGATAAAGAAATATGCCAAAAGGCGTTTCGCATAAAAGCTCGTCCGTCAGCAATATTGTTATCATTCATTCGGCAATAAACGTTCGGAGATCGTCGCACACATCATTCATCCCATACGATGCCTCGTTTATCGTTGTTCACTCACAAAATTTTTCCAATCTGAAATTCAACGGACAACGCTACATTCAATTTTATTGGATCACTTTAATACCTATAATTTACAGTCACCGTTTACTGACGAGTATATGTTGACAATGAACGAATACAATTCGGATGTTGTTGTGCTTAGCACAAATTCAATCATTCAAAAAACTTCGAACAATGTGTCACGATCGATGAGCAATTCAAGCGAAGATCTACGATCGTTTGCTTCAATGAAGAGATCGCTGAAAAACATGAAAGCGACCTGTTTCATAATCACTAAGAATCAGCGTTCGACTGAAAAGAAAAAATTAAAGGCTTCCCTTTCACTCGAATTAGAGCATCGCAGTCGGTCATCCTCCTCAGCAGAATGTCGTTCAAGAAGTCATTCAGTCAGCTCGAATCAAGATGATTTCTGCGGCATATCGCCGCGTAATCGATTGGCACTCGATAGTTCGTGTTTGCATTGCTCATTCAGTCGAAGAAATCAAAGAAAACAATTACAAGATGAAATTGAACGCGCCACATCACGTCTTCGAAGAAATCTCGGCGAGTTTCGTCTCGCAGCGGCAGTCGCCTCCAAGAATGTCCATGAACAACAGTCGACCAGCGTTATTGAGGCACCAGATATTGTTATATCGTCAGTGAGTTCAGAAGATGATTTGGATAATTCGACGAAGTATATGAGCAATGAGATGGACAGTGTAACAAGCAGTATAACAAGGTGCTATTTTCCCGTATGTTATATTCGTGACGTGGAGCGTTTTTTGATTTGTACGTTTAATGTGTTCTTTGAGAAGAATAATTATTTTCCGTCCGATATCCGATGTCTTCCCTCATACCAAGAAATTTTTGGTCTTGCTGATTGCAGGTGTTCCTTTCATCAGTCTACAGAACCATATTTCATTAACGTTTTCTAACATAATTCATTCATTGTTCAAAAAAATTTTAAACCTTAAAATTGTTAGTCTCCATTTTATAATATGATTGTCATTATTGAAAACATTGTGAACACTCTCGTTAAAAATCGCTTCCAGTTCTAAAACAGTTTTAAAAAGTTCTCTTGTTAGCACAACATCATGTGACTTTATCGTCAATTTGCTCCAGCGTTAGTCTCATGATGATATAAGTATGTGCATCAAACAGCATCCGTGTAATATCGAAGTTTCATCAGTTCTCTTTGCGGTTAACTTTCAAAAATGTTACTGCTGAAATTGTTTGTTGATATTCTTGTTTTCTAACTGCGTATTATAGTTGAATTTCGAGAATAAAGAACGCTTTGCATATTCGGAACCTATCTGGATCGGAATACAATTTTTCTTGGTGATTCTGTGAGTACAGTCTCCAGAGGTGCTAGTTCTAGATAAGTTTCATGCGGTGATTATGATTATCAATGCCCCGCTTCTCTTTGGCTGGAAATGTGCATTTTTACTCGTTTGTAGCTGTTTTAGTGCAGTATAACTGTATTTACAACAAGCGAGCAAAGCTGAAAAGCTTTTTTGTGAGCATGTGAATTCCCGTAAATTCAGATAACTTCAGTTCCATCGAAATCGACTGTCTTTCAATGTTAGTTGGCATGTAATTCTCTGTATAGAAAGGATGATATATTTCCATAAAAGATACCATAGATTTTCACAAGGGTGGTCCTAATTTGACAGAAGTTTTTTTGGCAAATGTTATTCTCTCTTCTTGAAGAACAGCATTCCGGGTTAATAACAATCCACGCAAATATTTGTTGTAAAAAATTCGTTCGAAAGGTTTACTTGTTTTCCACCAAAGAAACCCTATTACGTAGATTTGAATTTTAGAATTTTCTTGACCTCACTTCTCGAATTGATGCCTTTCCGTTTGATAACAACTTTTGTAAAAGTCTATCCTAAAGGCTGAAAAGTCGCTTGTTGTGCGCATGAGGCGCCGAAGCGCATAGTTTGTAGTTGTGCGCATTAGGCGCATGTAGTTAACTCTCTTCCGACGAAGTTTTCACAGATTACTTCTGAACTAAGAGTTCCATTTCTGAAGGTGAAAGCAAGCAAATTCTAAACTGACGTGTAAAACTGATTTTGAAAATACTTTTCACTTGACTTTCTTTGAAAAATTTTCGGCATTTCATGTATCCCGCTATTTTCATCGGCAAATGGCGTTGATTTGTCTAATTGACTAGGTTGATGATGTGAACCGGAGATGATGAGTCGGTTGAACAGTTATGTAGATTTATATCGTTGCAGATTCATGGAGGGCATAATTGATGATCGAAATGCTGACATCTTCATCTTCTCACTAAACTTTCGCTCCACACTCAACCTGATCTCATTAATCACAATTGAATCGTTATTTTTCGGAGCTTACTTTCATTTGTCTCAATACAAAATTTTGAGAAATCTTTTGTATGATGTTACTGGATTTCGTGTTCAGTAACGAATGCAGTGAATGGCTTACGGATGACCTGTTCTCTCTAAATTTCAGTCTCAGTAAAACTTCGTCTCAGAATAGCGATAAGTTACGATATGTTCACAATAATATTGAATAATATTCACTATGTTGTCCTTAGATAATCTCAGCAAGAGTCATGCTGTCTCCAAGTAATAGTGATGGCAATCGACCCAAGTCAGACCGGTAAAATCTGATGAAATCGATCCAATGTCGAAATTTAGAATTTCAAAAAATGGTTTCCGTCGAATTTCGACCAAACGGGAATCCCGTTCGGTCACTAAAGTGCAAATTGTTAGAGAGACGCACCTCAAAATCGCTCACTTCTTCCTTCTAAACCGCCCACTTTCAAAAAGCGGATTCGGTCGGATTCCGAACGAACCTAAATTTTGTTCAGTTACCATCACTGCCAAGTAATACTCGATAGGAATGCTTCGTTTGTATCAAAATGAGTATCGCTATGGACTTCAGTTTTTTTTTTTGTTTTGCTCCTGCCATCAAGTGACAGAATTCAAACGAATATTCCAATTTGGCTTTCCAAAATATGAATTCAGAATGCTTGAAGAATTCACTGTGAATATGATCACTTTATCAATGTCAACACTGCTCATAGAACAGTTACATAAACATAGAATAACGAGAAGAGAATACAAACGGGAGGGAATAGAAGAAATGAGGACGTATCTAACTTGAATGTGTTAGCAGCTGACAGTGATGGTGTTTCAATAAAGAGAATTACGCGTTGAAAAGAATATCCTAGTCGAGGATCAATAAGGCCTATTTTTGCAAAGATAAAAGAGGATGCTCTTTTTGAAATGAATAATTATTTGGAAATTGATGAAGCATTCATCTTATTCGGGTGAAGTGTCCTAAATAAAATTTAATAATGACCGTCGGAGTAAATTTTGAATTGTTTTCAGTACACCATCAAGTTCGACATGTCCAAGTCCTCAGATTCAAACACTCGACAATTACTTCAGTTTGGAAGCATCATCAATGGATTTGAGAAACTGTATCGGAACGGGACTGACTAAAAGGGTGGAGTGTGGAGTTGCTTTGATAAGTGATAGAAGAGCACTGTTAAGTGCTGATTTAATTGCAACATTAACGCCAACAGGGCTGCGTTCGAATTCGATTGATCTGTCAACGTTAAGACGTGAAATTGAATGCTTGAATGCTAGTTCAGAGGAGAGTTCCGATAACGAATCAATCAGTAATGATTCTTTATCGAATACTCACGATTCAACTCGTGCAACTCGTTCCCGTTCCTATGATCCTACTGCTTTACCACAACACATTCTTAGAAGACCAAGTCGTATTGAACATCTTAGCGACTTGTTCAGGTGAAGTGAATGGCAAATATAAATGTGTCGTCAATAATACTCAAGCTTATCGTTAATTTCATTTGTTTTGGTTATTTCATTGTTTTATGTCTGTTTTATTACATCACTCACAGTGTTTGAGCAGCACAGAGTTTATAATGAAGATTCTTGAAGGATCTAACTCTGAAATTGCCTAACTATCTTTGTCCAGATAATTGAGTAACCAAACAACAACCCAAAATTAATTGTGAATTTAAAATATCGCTGAAATGATTCAGGCGTGCGTTAGCCAAATCGCCGATGCTAAAGAGGACGGCTGCAATGCAAGTAAATGACGCGAAAAGTGTTTGTAAGCATCGAACGAGTAGATATTGGCTGGATGATCAGGTCGTTACAAATGTCATTTTTTAATGCTTGCCAAATATTCTTTGAAACGCATCTTTTCAACGGATTGGATCAGCTGCAGGAATTTGACGATTGAATAGATGAGTATTTGACCGCAAGATGACAGCATTCGCACATTCTTTCACGATTGATAAATTCGTGAAGATTTGAATTTTGAGATTTGAACAATAACAACCCTTCAAAATTTGCATTTCTTTAGCTTGGACCAGCCGAACATATTTGGTTGCCATCTTCTGGTCCAGGAAGTGCAGCCAACAGCTCGCACGACACCGAATGCTATATCGGTATTTCATTTGTTTGATATATTCCATTTTTCTTCGAAGCGATTATTCTGGATACTATGAGGAATATCGTGAAAGTCTCCCGCAAATCACTCTTATTAGTGATTGAGCATTACTTGTGCGTATTGCTTGTTTCATACCAATGAGCACAATTCGTTAGAACTTGTTTCAAATCATCAAAAATGTCGTTCAAAGTGAACAGATTTTTGTTCAAGTATTGCTAATAGTCAGTAATGAATACAAACCATAATTAGGTGAAAAGGACTGCGAAAAGGTGGGTGAAAAACGTCGTTGTGCAGCTTGTCACATCGTTGCACATACTGCGTGTTTTTCGCATCTATCTAAGGTGAGCAACTTCACAATTAACTGCTATTTCTTGAGAGAAAACGAGCAAAAGAATCTCTTATTATTTCCGTTCTCTCACCTGTCGTGTATTTAAAATTATTATGCAATTGCAAATACAATTAAAAAACATAAAATGTCAGTAGGTGGTGACAGTTTCAAGGCGAAACGGGTGGTAGTTGTCAAGGTTTGCTTTTTTTCACAGCAGTTTGAAAATGAGCCGTATTTGGGAAAAGCAATGAATTGGTGTTGTGATCACGCTGAATCTGAATCAGTCACACTGAACTGAGAACGTGTTGGTTGTTTATAGATGAATTTGAATTGCAAAATAACATATCGCGAAGCAATTTACAAGAAACAGTCGAGAAGCGAAGTGACCGAAGCGCTAAATCGTCATCACTGGATACATCGCTGGAAGCATGAAGGTCGATGCGGTCGTTGCGGTAAATCATTTCAGCATCGAATGTTCCGTGATAAGGTATCACACTGCTTAACATCATGGCCACTCATCAGTGATCGCTTATCGTAATTTTATGCACGTTCACAATGACATCAAATTTTCAATGAAACGATCGATCCTCTTTAATCACTGCTTTCATTCTTGTCATCTCCTCAGTTATATTTACAGACCACACTTCATAGAATAATCCATTTATTTATTTTCCTTTAAAATGTGACATTGTTGTCTTTGTCTCATTTCATTGCCTTGTAACTATTGTGTTTGCCCTTAATTGTGTGTGAAAGGATGATTGTAGGAAGTGATCGCCATAACATGCTCATGGTGCAAACGATCATATCACAATAAACAAGGCTGCTTTTCTGCTGCTTACTTAGAGGAGAGATGTGATCGAGGCGTATTGAGCGAAATGATCGTACCGCCAAGTTGGATTGTTCGACCACCTGCACTGAGGAAGCGAATTCAACGAGACCCAAATAACAAGAAATCACATCAAAGAAAGGTTACACTTCTCTACTATTTACTTCAGTGCAGCATAAACTGGTAATAGCATACGACCGGAGTTCAGTCGCAATCCGGATTTCAAAATCTTGAAAGAGGATTCGGCCGGATTCCGACCAGTGATTCTAAATTTCGGTCGGAATGTCGAATTCCGGTAATTAAAGAACTCGATTCGGTCGGATTCTGATCGAATGCGAAGTTCGTTCGATTACCATCACTAATACAAACCACTTGAAATCAACAATTATGACACTTTTCAAACTCGATCACTGAATACATCATCAGCCACGATATTTGTGGATTTTTATCATTAAGCATACTCGTCAACTATTTATGTTAAACTATTGTAAGTAATACTATTCGAAATGCAGCCTTTTATTGCAGCAATGCAAAATGAGCATTCATCTGTGTCATGCTCAAGGCATTTTCAGTATCGTCCTTTCATTGTGAAACCACTCGAGCCATCGTTACCAGCACCAAGTCAACCACTTTTAGTGTTTGTAAATCCCAAATCCGGTGGTAATAAAGGTTCTAAAGCGTTACACACATTATGTTGGCTGCTCAATCCGAGACAGGTCTTTGATATCACCAGTATGAAAGGTCCTAAATATGGGTACGTTTATATATGACGTACAGCATGAGTCCGAATGTAATATTGAAATTTTTCATGTCCAAACTTATAAATGCGTCTTATTTTTGGTAATTATACCAAATACTTATTCTCATCGATATTATAAGATTATCTTTCAGATTAGAGATGTTCAGAAAAGTAATTAGACAACTTCGTATGCTTGTGTGTGGAGGCGACGGTACTGTTGGTTGGGTTCTCGGAACGCTTGATCAAGTGAATATTATCGAACTGCTTTTGCTTTTCCATTACAACCAACCGATTTTGATAGTTTATTCGCATAATGCGCTTATCGAATGATATATATTGAAATGAGTTCATATTTGCAATGAAGTCTGAATCATTATATGTTTATCTAACATTCGTTGAACATTTCTTTCACAAAACTCTTCCAAGCCATGTATCGTTATTTTTACTCTACAATTACAGCTTAATTGGCCAACCTATCCACCAATGGCATTACTCCCACTTGGAACTGGGAATGATCTTTCTAGGTATGAATTATATGTTTAGCTGATTTATTCTTTTGAATGGAATGCTCAATTTCAAACCAATATTGAATTACTTTAGAAGGTGGTCAAGTGGAGATTTCAACATAATGCTCTGAATCCAGGATTCACTCGACTTGAAGTTTTTAGAATTTCGAGCAATATCTCATTAAAATATACCACTTGTGTCAAATCCTCTTAGTTCTAGTGAAGCCATAGTAAGAATACTAAAACTACCATCTACAATAACAGAGAATCATAGTGCGAGTAATAATAGCAATGACATTGTTATCCATCAAATTCGATTCTGATGATTTCGTTTGAAGGTGTATGGGCTGGGGTGGATCTTTTACTGATGAGCCACTCAGTCAACTTCTGAAGGCAATTCTACACGAAACATCAATCACTCATTTGGATAGGTGATTCTACAACAGATTATTTTCGCAGAAATGTATCTCTAATAATTCATTTTGTAAAATCCAAACAAAATACTCAGGCAGTCTGTATTGGACTGTTCATCAATCAGTTGACTTGTTCATCAATTCAAAGTTCCATTAACATCTGTTCATTTTGATACCTTATAAATAACTTCAGTGATGGTTGAAATAAACTAAAATGGAACTATCCATTTAGAAGATGTTTAAGGCGATTAAACATTTGCATTCATTGATGGTTTTTAATTTTTGCTCATTTGCGATGAAGAACTTATCTCTTCGATGTTCATATTAGGTGGTGATGGTATTTTCAGATGGCAAATTGATGTGGAGAGCTTATCAACGAATCAAAGCGATCTCAGTGAGGAGCTCAATGAAGCCGTGCAAAGCACATTACCATTAACAGTGATGAACAATTATTTCAGCATTGGTGCAGATGCTCATGTAGCGCTACAGTTTCATCACTCAAGGAGTTGGTCTTTATTATTCATCTGTTAGTATGTTCATTGCAATGATGAATTACCTTCTCGGACATTGAACCGAAAGTGCAATTCGTGCAGTACCTAACAAGTTGATCGTAACAAGTGACATTCAACTGTAGGAGTCTCTACCGGATTTCTACAGGTGGCTTAGAAACTAGAACCTGTAATATGTTGAAATTCAACGTAAGCCTCTATTAAGGTGCCAATCCACAAATGTTAAACAGTCGATTAAAAAACAGAATCGCGTATGGTGGACTAGGAACAATTGATCTTTTCAAGAGAACATGGAAGGATCTTTCTGAATTCGTGACTCTCGAGGTTGGTCGTCTTTTACAATCATATCTGTTCATGAATTTTGTATTTCATGGAATTCTGAATAATTCCACTATTTTAAAGCATAATTTTGTCTCATTTAAAAGAGTCTCTTACATAGATAACTGCATACACCGCAATCTCTTGAATAGAAGACCTAGGGCCTCTAATTTTTGGTTGTTCGAAGATCTTGAATAATGTTTGTTTTCATTTTTATATCGAGCTCACTTTCTGAATTTTGAAGTGCGATCATCGAGATTTCACACCGAAGATAAAGGAATTCAAGTTTCATTGCATTCTCTTCCATAACATCGCTTATTATGCTGGTGGTACGATTCCATGGGGTAACGATGATGATGAAACTACGAGGCCATCAAGCTGTGATGGTAAAATCGAAGTGCTCGGTTTTACAACGGCGACACTGGTCGAATGATCATTTCATTTCTTGTCATTGTTTCTTTTTTTAGGCCTATTACGATTCAAAACTATTAAGAGTAATGAATTGTTAATGAACGACAAAATTTGATCGTATTTCAACTGTTATTGCAAGTTTTCGTTTGAGGCTGCTTTACAAATGGGTGGTAAAGGTGAACGAATTGCGCAATGCTCGAGTGTGCGTATGACAACCACAAAACCAATCCCTATGCAAGTGGACGGCGAACCATGCCTTCTTGCCCCATCGATCATCACTCTTAAATTCCATAGCAAAGTAACCATACAGCGTTCCTAATTCACTGTTGAAATCATCAAATATTTTTCTTTATTTTCATAATCCTTCTGAATTTGCTCTTAAATAATCCTGAACGAGTTTTGTTAGAAATTATTCAAAAAGTGAAAATTTTCTCAAAGGCACAAATAGAATCTAGCATAGTTATCGTGTCGTTGTTCTTCGTTCTTGAATTCGATGGTGTACTGAACGCGTGAAACTTATTCAGTGAGTCTTTGCACCAAGTATTGAAGAATAATTTTGAGATTATTCCAATTTTAGCAGTTCGGAAACTGTAGTGCAGATATTTCATATGCGTTTTGCATATGAATAATTCTTATTTACTTTTCTCGATTTTAAACAGTTTTCAAGCTTTCCGGTTTCCAGTTGCTGTGAATTTCATATTCTGGTGGATAAATTTGTCGACCTACTAAATGGCTTATTAGAGGAAAGGGGTGGAGTTGGAAGAAAAGGGAAAAGAAAGAGAGAAAGATGAGAGGATTGAGAGGAGATGGGAGATGGAAAGGGAAGGGAGGGAGACGGAAGAAAAATAATGGAAGTGAGAAAATCCACTTGAAAATTCAGCAATTTCTGGACCATACCATTTCAAGCCCTCCTCCTCTGGAAAAAAGGCTGGCTACGCCACTGATTGGTTTCATGTTGACGAAACGATTGGTCTCATGTTGTGTCGAGTAACATGAGTTTAGTGCTGATCTTGAAGGTTCCAATGTTGAGACGAGAGAAGAAGGTAGTGCATGCATCGAATCGTGAAGCAGTGAAACCGTTGTCACCATCAGCAAACAGTCAACTAGCGTCAACTTCGTTGATCATGCAGATGCCGGTACTGGTGATTGGTCGCAATGATTTCAACACTTACAGAGATGCATTTGAAAGACTTAGAGACTCTGGTTCGTACAATAATAATATGCATATTCAATTCTATCCAACTGACCATGCACTTGGAACAATTGTCAGTTTCATTATTTCATCAAAATCAACCTATCAAATTTCCAAGCCAAAATTTCGCAATTTCAGCGTACGAGATTGGTGTAATCAGTGTTGAGGCCGAAACAGAACTGAATTTGATGCGTCATCAAATACAAAAATTATTACATGAGCACTCATCTTTACCTTATGAGCCTGGTGATGATTGGAGATTTCTAGATTGTACGTTCATCTTATATTTGCTTTATTTTTTCTGCCAATATTGCTTCACATTGTGGAAAACTTTTGGTTATGGCTGTAAAAATTCGTTATCATTTATCATGAACTATCGCTAAAAACGTACGCATGGATCCTAGCATTGTCGAAAGTGTACCGATCTTGTAATGGCCAGCATATTTTACTGTTACTTGCTCATGAAAACTTAATTGATCAGCTACTCAAACTGCCCTTGTTGCTGGAATGAATTCTGATTCTCATCCACGCACATATCCTTTGCGCATAATTCACCCCTCACTTCTCATCCCTTGGAATTATCGTTTATGGACCACCTAAGCCATAGCACATTTTCGCTTCTGATATATAATCTCCATGCATCATCAGCTTTTTGTGCGTACACTATTAGGAAGCGGATGAATGATCGAAGTGCGTGCAAGTTACTTCCTCGTCGTTTTCTTACTTTTGCATCCATCTTCATAAGTAAAGCTATACATATTAGTAATATATGGAACTTCTCGTGGCTATTCGCAAAATTCCACTGTTGTGCAAATTCTCTGTTAAATAATGGTTTTGTTGACGGTTCAGATTTCGGTGAGGAAATATATATGCGTCATTTACACAAAAGATCTCCTCAGATTGTCTTAGAGGATGAGTTATTTGCTAAATACCAAAAAAATCACTAGTTATATGAAAGTGTCATATATTGTAACATTACCACACCTTTATGAATGACATTAAATCTCAATTGAGTGATACTGAAATAAAATGGCTGCTGAATCTTGGTGATGTGAACAATTGTAGATGTGACGAACGCAGAAGAAGGAACATTCCGAATTGCTCGACACCAAGAACATACGCACTCCGTATCGGATGTTTGTAATTTAGATGATTGCCTGATGATATTGGATGAGCATTTTCCATCAGTCACTTCACGATCATCAATTCTTGGCTCCGATCTCACGTTCGATTCCAGGTGGTCAAGATCTACTATTTCGATTTGTTTCAATCCAGAAATCCACTCAATAGTTATTGACATTGATTCTATTTGAATTTTCAGTGCATCGACGGATTCGTATCGTAAATCGTCAACACGTCGTATCAGTGATACGGTACGAATCGTGCTCAGCAGTGACACACAGGAGACACTCCTCTGAAATTATATGAGAGTAATAGTCAACTGAATTTGCCATTTAAGAGAGCAATTGTTGAATTCTTCCTTATCGCTTCGCGTAATTTTATTATCGATGTAATTTAGTTTCTCATGAATGTTAACTTTTGATGAGATAGATCAGTATGTTTCATCTCGAAATTTTCGCAAGTATCATCAAGCACTGATAACCAGCTCAGATGTGACTATTCATCCCAGAGGAGAACAGTTTGCTGATCTTGGGTTACCTCTCACTCACTGCATATAAATTTATCATTATGGTTTTTATGAAGCAGGACAATTCACATCAGTTCAATTCATTGATCCGACTCATTATGTCATTCCTGAATTCAAACGTCTTACTCTCTGGCTTAAAGTAAACGTGATGTTCTTTTTTATCGAAAAATTTTCATCGTTCTTCAGTGAGAACATAAACTTGCCGGTTCATTAACGATCAGCAAATGAATCCTTCTGCGTCCAAAAAAAACCTTCTAATGATTCTCAGCGGGTTTCAGTACGTATTTTTTCGTATGAGTTCTCTTGCTCCCGGTTTATACAACGAGTCTTGATGGTTTTTGATCCTTTTGTTTCGCTTCCATACGAAAAGTGTACAGTGCTTAGTGTTATGGTAATTTATGCAATGTTTGTGGTATTTCGATTATCATTTCTTTCTTCGTTATACTCATCGGTGCACAGTTACAGCGCTGAACAAAAAGCTATCGAATACTGAAAAATAAGCAAAGTACGCTACTGTATGGTTGCATCATTGTTGGTTCTTTGATAGCTTTCGATTGAAATATATTCAACATTGTAACGCTCAACAAATAAGATTTTGAGCTGATAACTTATATGCTCTATAATTATCGCTAATTATGCATCATTTAATGATTTACTTGCTAAATTCACCTTCACATTGTTATTTTGTGATATCACCTAAAAATGAAAAGATTCAAAGCATAGCTGCCATGAAACGAACGTTTCATTTGAGTAGTGCAATAGAGCACCACTTGGGAACAATTTCATTGGCATCAAATACTACAAGGAATGAGTTCGTTCCCAATGATACCGACCAAGAACAAGTTGAATTTTCTGTTGTCATCCAAATAGAAGACATGAGAGTAGAACTTTCGATAATCAACACCTTGTCATTCTCCAAGTATCATTTCAAAGAATTACCATTGGATAATCTTTTTCGGGTGATTTCTGAATTGTGCAAGTGTAATAGTATCGTGCAGCACTCGAATCACAATCAAAAACCACTGTTAGTATAAAATTTGTCATTCTGTTGCAAAGAATGATCAATTCCACATTCAACGGAGCCTGAATCTATTTAAAGATATTGTGAAGTGAAACGAAGTATTCGATGTGTGTTTGCAAAAATGAGATAATCAGTTTTGCTGTCAAGAAAAGCCAGAAAAGGAAAGTCGTTACAAATGAAACAGTAAGCCAATGAAGTGAATCAAATCTCGAGTCGTATTCAGCGGAAGTTGATGAAATTCTTCGAGCTGCATCAGACGGCTGCACTCATTCGTAACAAATGACATTGAACCTTGTGTTGAATGGAGCTGTTTTGAAACTCAATAATTGTTCAGAAAGATTTTTCCTGTTTCTACACTGAATCATTTAAGAAGTGCCAAAATGTGTGAATGAGTAAAAGTTTTCGTTGTAAAACAAGTATTGTATTGTGTAGTAATAAGGAGCAAAATAGATGAGTTAAAAGGGGACGAGGATGCGTGTTAAACTGAAGTAAAGCCGAGTTGTAAAAGCAAACAAACCATTTCTGTTCATTTCAATTCAAAATATATTTCATTCCATATGATTATTCGATTTCATCTCATTCATTCGATTTCATCGTTTACACTCTGCATTTTCGCTAATTCTTCACTGTTGATATTTGTATGAGAAACGTTCATTTATTTGTTTACTCTCCTCATACAATCCATCCTTTCCACAGATAGATGGATCTGCGTGCACCTCTTCGATTACGCAAACAAACGCCTGCCTGCTTGTAAAATATGACGCCTGTTGCCTGAACGATTGATGCCGCTTTGTTGCGTCTTTTATAGAGCTTTCATCCATCAACAAAATACCTTCGCTCAGTTTTCAACCACCAAGTCTGTTCTTGTGCCACAAATAGCTTCTTGTTCATTTATGTGTAACGAATGCATTTCATTCATTATTTATTTGTTTACATCCTCACTGATTGCTTATTACAGCATAAGCTAGTTAATGGATTGATTCCTTTCATTGAATATCATCGCCATTCAAAGCGCAAAATACAACAGCACTTCGTTAATCTCTTTCAACTTTTGCAAGTATTTATTTATTCGCTCAGCGTTGATCATCAATTCCTTGAAGTACTTTTCGAAAACATTTCAATAAATTTTGCTCAAACCGGAAATTAATGTTTACATGTTCAAATAAACTGAAAAATTATATGAATGATTACAGAGTTTCAGTTTTTAATTGGAACCATGTAAATCTGTGCATAGGTAAAAAACGATCGAATGGATAAAAATGAAGCGTAAGTATGTATACATGCACATATAGCACCATGCACAAAAAACGTTGGTCTCTATCTTTTGTGTTAAAATTTTTTGAGGATTACTTCATCAGTTTGGATGCACCACCACGTACGATTATAATGATCAGGTGGCTTGTTTTAGACATTGCAAGTTACCAATATTAACACGATGAACATTGCTTTATGAATAATGATCACTTTTGTAATTTTGTTATCGCTCATTTTAACACTTCTTTGTTATTTGTCTTTGAGAGATGCGTAAATAAACACTTGTTTCTTGACTTTTGAAACCACTCATTCATTTCTTTGAGAATTCATTTTTCAGTTTTTTTTTCATTTTTCATCAATCGTCAGAATTTTTATTCACTGCTGAGACTAAATGGTCATCTTCATCGGTCATACTCATTTTTCTCAGACTATTAATCATTTGTTACAAATTCATATATCAAAAGAAAGTAACCTTCGTTAAGACCTCATCTGTAAGATTTTTTGCGTATCAGTTGATGCATTTGTTGTTTTAAAATTTAAAAAATGTCCTCCTGTAAATATTCCCCACTATGACCAACAAAAGCCCCGTTATTTAATGAAGACACAACACTCCCAATGAACACTTCAAGATTTTCCATCTGAATTTTGGTACTTCCAGCTCAAGCGAAACTACTGGTTGATGACGCAAAAGGTTTTATTTCTCGGTGCTAGAAATGATTGTGATTGAAACAGAGGGGAGAATAAAACAGAAATGGAGTAGGAATCGAATTTGTGCCGAAGAATTTTTTTATTCAGTCTTTTTCTTAATACAATCCTCATATTCTGAACGTATCATTGAGACGATGCATTTGATAAAATGTGAAAAATGCAACGATGATGTGGTACGATAAGACCGCAAAAAAAGGTTGAAGAAATTATATTACACAAGATATCCAGCATTCATTGACCGTCGATCAAGGCTGTTCTAAGATTGTGTTGATACCGAAAAGCAGAGGTGGGCACAGTTTCATCAATTGTTAATCATTAATTACCACGATTAATTTTCTCATCAATGGAACAACGATTGCATTACATTTGAAAAAGATACGAAATTAGCATCTGCAATGCCTTTCTGGAGAGGTATTGATTTGTTAACTCGTAAAAATTTTCACCGTGTGGAATCAATTCGTTTAAAATTCTTAAGAAAATGTAAATTGATTTCATTTAGAGTACGGGAATAGTTAGGTCCATTTTACCTACTGTTAACAGATCACTGAGAAAACGTGTCGAGAAGCATTTTTAATGATTGATCAATGTTAAAAAATTATTATCATGGGAGAATCAGATATAATGATTTGAAGTCATTCTGAAATATTTAATCAGAGTTAATCTGAAATTAACAAATATCGTAATGACTACTGTTAATACTTTTTCCTTCATTCAGCGACTTAAGGGCAGCGTAGTTAACTTTTTGGATAACAACTATTGCCATTAGCAGTTTGATTAACGGTGCCCACCTATGCCAGTAACCAGCAAATTCGTTCTTTATTGTGTCAAGCTAAATGCTTATCTGATGCTTCGAGCCATATTTATTAGCGATGTGTGTAGCAACTGATACAGAATGGTGCTATCGGGATAAAGCATCATTCAAAGATTCTCGATTTACCGATCAATTTCGACCTCGTTCAAAATTATTTTTTCGATTCCCTAATTTTTTGATCACTCATGAAGTCTTTCTATTTTGTTTTAGGCAACGATGATCAAATACTTCTAAGTATCGCTTTTCCTCTTTGCTCATGTTCCATGTTTCGCAGCCGTAAAGAAAAGCGTATTATTGCTTTGTAAATTTTCATTTTTATGTGTATTGTTATTTCATTTCATTTCATCGTTGTAATGATTTGTTTAACTGCGAACAGATTGAGCGTTGATTCTATGCTTTATCTCTTCAACAGATTGGCCTCTCGATAAGATGATGAAGTAATATTGCATTTCATCACGAGTGTTAGCAGTGATCTTTAAAACTTCTGTAACTTCAGTTCTGGTATTTGAGTTGTTGCACTGATGAGGTGTGCACCCTCGTAGAGAGTTGTTTATAACTCAATCTATGGTCTAATCAAACAGTTTTCGTGATAATGGGTAATTTTGTTTCACACATGCTGTTATTTTGCAAGGAGTTGAAGTTTCTGATCTTTGCTGTTAGACGTTTGTAGCACGCTTGATGATTTTTAGATTGACACCGTCCAATCGCAAATGCATAATTTCCCACAGACATTTTCGATTGACGAAATAAAACGTTGCTTTGAAGTCTACAAAATGTATGATTGTCAATTGTTTAAGCGATGTTATATTATTCTCTTTGATTTTTGATCGACGCATCGTTTTGTTAGGATAAAACAGGACTTGAATTATTCGATTTCGTTCGTTTCGTTCATCATTCAGATTTTGCTACAAAATGATTGCAGAAAGTTTTCCTGGTGATGTAACCAAATGAATAAATCACAAAAAAATTGAGTTTC